CACTTGTCACCTAACCTGTACTTATGACACCTATTCCTATGCCCCAAGTGGAAGACCTTGCACTTACCCACATTGAACGCCATCCTGTTGTCTCCTGCCCACTTCCATAGTCTGTCCAGATCCTTTTGGATCTGGAGTACCTGCTCCTCAATTGTGGCCACTGATCCAGTTTTAGTGTCATCTGTGAATTTGATCAACAGACTGTTTACCCCTTCTTCCATGAGAGTTAATGAAAAGATTAAACAGGATCAGCCCCAGGACAGAGCCCTGGAGGACCCTGCTTGTCACTGGCCGCCATCCCGATAATTCCCCGCTAATGGTTACCTTCTGCTTTCAGTCAGTCAACCATGCCCTAATCCACCGAACAGTGCTTTGGTGTATCCCAAAACTCCTCAGTTTCTCCACCAGGATATCATGGGACACTTTGTCAAAGGCCTTGTTGAAATCCAGGTATACCGCATCCACTTCATCCCCTCCATCTAGCCATCTCGAAACCTTGTCATAGAATTCCACAAGGTTTGTCAGGCAGTACCTGTTTTTGCAGAAGCCGTGTTGTGTGGCTGTCAGCCTCCCTATCTAGCATCACTAGATCTCTATTATGAGCCTTTCCATTGTTTTTCCTACAATGGACGTAAGGCTAACAGGTCTATAATTCCCCATGTCCCTTCAACTACCCTTTTTGAAAATTGGGACCACTGATGCCACCCTCCAGTCCTCTGGATCCTGAATGGTCAAGTCATAGTGGTTGGCAGGAATGTATTTGCCCATTTTTGGTTAGTGGATGACCTATATCCCTTCCTTTAGGAGGTGGATCTGGTCATAACCATCCCTGCCTTCATATTTAGACAACTGTAATGAGCTCTGTGTAGAACTGAAGAGTGTACAGAAGCTTCAGTTGGTGGAAAACGCAGTGGTCTTGCCCTGTGTCTGGTGTATATTATAGAAACCATATCATCCTGGTCCTGAAATAGTGCATGCACTTCCAGTTTCTTTTGGAACCATCTCAGTTCAAGATTGCTGGGCTTTTGTTTTTTTTCCCTTGCAAAGCACCAAATGACTTGAGGCCAGGGCACCTTGAAAGAAGCCTCCTTCCCTGTGTGTCTGCTCAAAGTTGCATTAATTTTCAGAGGTCTTTTTATGTGTTCCACTCCATAGAGGGGTAAGGCTGCTGGACACTCATAACAAGCTATTTTGTATGTCAGGCTATGGAACACCCCCTCCCCTGGGAAGATAAACTAACCTCTTTTGTGTCCTTTAAATAGCTGGTGAAGACAATAGACAATGAGTAAGGACAGTCTGTATTCAACATTACTTCCCAGTTTTAAAATACCTTTTAGACTTTGAATTTTTGCTATGTAATCTTTGTATTTTTATGGTATGTTATCCTGAGGATTCCTTGAGTTGGGAGGTAAGCCGAATATTCCCTAAAGAAATAAGCAAACAAATTAAACATTGAGGAAAAAGTCCTCTCCTATTCAGCAATATTTTGTTACATTCCCACCTCCAGATCAAGTAGCATTTTAGGCTAAACCATAGTGATAGATCGGTTTAGAATAGCCAAGGCAGCCTGAACACATAACATCCTGAATCATGTGGACGGGCTGGGGCCATGGGATGGGATTGAATGACTGTTAGAGAAACAAATGCCCTTCCTAGTCACAGGCAGAGGTAGGAACATTTCTAGACAGGCTTAATGTGCATGACCAAAATAGTCCATGGTTTGCTCTGTCATCTGTTACCCAGCAGCAGCCCATGGGTTATTTGGAGCTGTTCTCCCACCAACAAACCCTGCTCCCTTGATTTGGTGATACAGCAAATTGCTCCCCAGGGGTGGTGATGCAAATTGAACCCTGCCTACCTACTTATAAATGTATTTTGATTGTGCGAGTTGACCTATTGTATAAACATTCTGTTTCATCATTTACCTACATCTGATGGAAGCCTGAAATTTGTTAACTTAAATAACAAAATTATATTGAAAGGAAACATTCTTTTGAAAAGCAGAAAATGCCAGCAGGGAATACATGCCTATTTTAATTATGCAAATAATCCATAAAAAGGCATAGCTTTAGGCATACAGTTGTGTCCTACACAGAATTCTAAGTGTAAGCTGCAGCTTGTTCTCCCACAGGCAGACATGACAGTGAAATCGAGGGAGCATCTTGGCTTATTTGAAGATTACAAAGAAAATCAAGCTGAGACACATATTTCTAGTAGAGCTTCCTTAGTTGCTTTCAGAGTTATTAGAACACAGCAATCTGGGTGTATTTCTTAGAAGTTGTCAAACTGCTTTTGTTCATCTGTTAAATCTTCTTTTATCAGGATGAGAAATGCCATTTTCTACTCACATTTGAAATCCTCAATGAGTTCTATTACTTTTTTTTTCCCTAGGAAGTGATAGAAGCTATTGCTGAATGTGCATTTAAGACATCCCCTTTCCCTATCCTCCTCTCTTTTGAAAATCATGTAGATTCGTAAGTACTTAAAATAGTTCCACAAAGAATCTGTTTGAATAAATATTGCAAGAGATGTAGGCTGTTGAGACTATTTAATTAGCATAGTTAGCAAAGACAGAGATTCTAAAGTGTGGCAGGAATTGTTTGGACAGATATTTGCTGCCTTGTGAGAAGTTTTGTGGCACACAGTGGGTTTTATCCATTGTTAGGGACATGTGAATTGGCAACACTCAAGCAACATTCAAGCAAGCTAATTTCACCTTGAGGCTTGTTCCAGCTCAAGCCTGTATCAAATCCCAACCTTTTCTTGTTGTTGTTTTAATTTGACTTTTTGCATGACAACCTGTCTGTAATTCTGTACATATTTTTCTAAATGTATATATCAGTTAAAGAAATGGAAATATATTCTTCTTCTATATAGTCTTTATGTATAGACTTGGAAATATATTCATTTATATATATATAATTTTGGAAACATATTTATTATTTTCCCCTATACTACAGGGCATTTGTGAATATTTTCAAAAGTATGCATTTTTATGTGGATTTTTCAAAAGTACACATGCTGTTGGATTACTTTTTTATTTTTTGGTCCACAATGTGCATTGTAAGCTTAGAAATGCACTGACTTTGATCACAGAGAACTCCCCTTCCCCATATTTTCCCATGGTAGACCAATCGAAATAACTGGAATTTGGATACAACCCAATGTGTTCAAATGATATTCAGTTACACCTCAGAAGGTATGAATGTGTTTCTCCTAAATAACTGTTTGCAAAGTTTGCAAAATCATTGTCACTGATAGACCTTGATTAAGACGTACATACAGAACAATTATTTTGGTGCTGAAATGCTTGAGTTGAATGGTTGTTATGCTTTGGGGGAAAATTTTGATTAAATAATTGGGGGCAAAACTCAGTGTGATAATTCACACTGTCACCAACTCAACTAAATAATTTTGAATATTAGCTCTTTTTGGAAGTCTATAATAAAAGGCCTGGAGACATTTCACAAACCAGAATCTTTTTATTGGGGGTTCTACTAATCCTTGTAAATAATAGCTCATCTGCTTAAACTAATCTGAGTGTTTGGACTATCTAATACAAAAGCATGTTACCCAGAGGACAAAAGCCATCACCAAAGCCCTGTCCTCTGAGTTTTGCGAGTGGTACAGATGTTCAGATGTCATTTGATCTGCCGGTGAATTGAGCAGAGCACTTACTCTGACTGGCAAAAATTACAGTTTGCATGTAATGCCCAACACAGACAATATTGCCTTGCAAATTTCTGGCGTTAAGGGCACAATCTTATCTAAATAAGCATGAGTCTCCACACTTCCAGCACAGAGTGGGAGGAGCATCAGAGGTGATCTTTGCCTCTCTGCTCCCCCATTCTGAATGTTTTTGAGATGGCCACTTTTGGTCATCCAGCAACTGCATCTCAGAGGGGAAGGGAAGGAGGCTGGAGCAGGTTCAGAATACCTCCTATCCTGGTCTCTCCAGTTGATTCCCTCACAGCCCCCTAAAACATCCCCTTTCCCCTCCTTCCAATATAGCTTTCCCAGCCTGGGAGAGCAGCACAATTCTCTCTGCCCCAGCTCTGAGGTGCTGCGTTGGGGATTGGAGCTCCATGTCGTAGCTCCAAGGTCAGAGCTGGGAATTCCTATTATCCTATGTCCCCACAGATGATGCTAGTGGCCATCAAATGATTCCCTAAAATGCACATATATTTAAATTTAAATTCCTTTTGGTGAGAATGCCCTGTCTGCTAACTATGATTTTTAATTAAATGTTGTTCATAGCTCTCATATGTTGTAAAGCATCCAAGTAGTCTCAAAGTACTAAAAAAAGAAAAGAACAGAATAAAAAGTAATACTTTGGGAATTTGGGATGGAAAATAATCTCAGTAGTATTTTCTTTCCAGTTTTGACCCTGAGTGGAAATTTGTGACAGAGAGAACTGTGAAATCTGTGGCAGGAATCATAATTTTTCTTGTCAGCTAAACCGACAGCAGTGGAATGAGGACTAGAGATCATCATCATCATCATCATCATCATCATCATCATCATCACATTCAGTTTTTGCATTCTGTCAAGCACACATTATTGCTTGCATGTTTGCAGGGCAGGTTCACTTCCTTCTGTTTACTGCTGCAGATGCTGGAAGCCTTTAATGTGCTATTTAATGCAAAAATGTGTGAAAAGAGCCTTTGCAGAAGTCAGAATAATAGCATAATGACTCTAGATCACCGAGAACAATTTAGGATGATAGGATCAGAAAATTATACCTCTTCATCTAGTTAAAGGATGTTACATTTTCCATTACTGGCACTTTGAGTATTATAAATAAGCCTCATTTAATTCTATACTTTCTGCCCTTTTCAGCCCTAAACAGCAGGCAAAAATGGCAGAATATTGTAGATTAATATTTGGTGATGCTTTGCTGATGGAGCCACTGGAAAAATACCCGGTAAGTTGATTTTGTTGTTTAGCCAAATGTTAAAAGAAAACGATAAGTCTTCAGCATCCATTCTTTTTTCATATATTGTCCCCTCTTTGTTTTGATCTGACAGTGAATATTTTATGGGTATGGGTTCTTTAATGCTCTGTGTATGCTTTCTTTAATGCTATGAAGATACTATGAAGGGTGTTTAAAACAAACATTTAAAAGAAACTATAATTTATAAAAATATACTTTAAATGTATAAACTTTATAAACTGCCCAGAGAGTTGTGGCTACAGGCAGTGTGTGTGTGTGTGTGTGTGTGTGTGTGTGTTGTATTTAATATATTAATATATATATATATATATATATTATATAATATTTAATATTATATATATATATATATCTCTTTACAGTTGCCTTGCTTTACTACATCTTGCATATTTTCCTCAAAAAGACTCATTTAGTATTACTTAGGAAGAGGGAATCTTCCAAAAGTGGAAGAACAAGTCTTTATTAATGCTAGTACCATCTGCACCCTAAGAAATTTGCAGAAAGAGCAACATTTGGCATTTCTGCATTTCAGGTGCCTATAATTAATACAGGGCCATGGCTTTCTCATCCTAGTTGCACTGTTCAAAGATGGGAAAGGGGACAGAAGCTGTCATGAGGGGAAATGACCTTATTGCCCATGTCTATTTTTTATCAGCTTGAACGTGGTGTTCCTCTTCCAAGCCCAGCAGACCTGATGTACAAAATTCTGGTGAAGAATAAAAAGAAGTCCCACAAGTCGGCAGACGGCAGTGCAAAGAAGAAGCTGTCTGAACAAGCATCCAATGCATGCAGCGATGCATCCAGTGGGTTTGAGCCTTCCTCTCCTGGAGCAGGTAAAAACGTGCGAACTTCCTGATAATGTACAAAAGGGGATGCATGCTATAGGTTGCAATAACTTTTCAATGTGTAGTAAGTCTGTTGGACAAAATGCTATGCAAACACAAGTTGATATCCCTGATAAACTTGAAAAGTATACTGTATTGGCATCTCATTGGGCAGAAGAACACTCTCTTCTCCAGAAAGTGCCTAGATGTATATTCAGCCATCCTTCAAGGATGCTTATCAAGAAGTCTTCTGAATTAAAAAAGTGCCATCTGCTGCTGATACATGAAGAACTGAATGGATTTAGACATAGCACAATGTTTCTGTGTTTGCACATACATTACATATAAAAGAGAAGAGGAATGTGATATTAGCAGACCAGCTTACTTTGTTGCTCCATCTTGAAAAAGTTTTTGTTATTACAAGAGAAACTCTGGACAAACTTTGAATATGCCTTGATTAAAGTTTGAAGTGTGGGGGGCAGGGTAAAAATTTTGGGCAGGCAAAAATCCAATCCACAGGGTGTCAGTCCGTGTCTCTGATGCAGGAAAATAATATGGGACAAATCCTCACTATTGCTGTCATAGTATTTCCCTGGTTGAGACTGAACTTCTTTTTTGAGGCTGTGAGGCAAACCTTGTAATGCCTGTCTGCCTTATGCCAATGTAGCTCCTTGCAGTCTGTTTCCATGACAGCGGTACCCTTCTTTTTATGTCATACCTGGCACTATTTTTCTTGAGTTCTCACTAGTTAGCATCCATTCAGCAGCTCGTCAAGAAAAGCTGTCTTTTAACATCAACACCGGGAGCTGCTCCTCACACCACAAGAGCAATGTCAGTTTCTATGTCTGAAGTCTGCTGTGGCCAGATTGCCCCCATCCCTGCTTCACCTGCCTTTCAGCTCCTCAGATGAGTAGTCTCATCATTTCCAGGCACATGGGACTTGAAAGAGTTAGCTCCCCTTGTTTCATGATCAAATACTTCATGTGAAACCTTGGGCTAGTAGCTTGGTTCCTTTCTGCTGCATAGCGTGCCCCTTTAAAATAAGAAGGAAAACGGTGCTTGTCCATATTTCATCTATTTTAGTAAAACTATGAATAAATCTTATGAGAACTAGACTAAAAATGTGGGAGACAGGTAAAGGGTGGATTCAAAATTAGCCTGCAATATTGTCACAGATATTCATGGGCATTCATTTGTTCTAACTACCACTACATTCCAGGCTCAGAAGGAGGTCCTGTGTTCCTCAGAAGTACTCTCAAGCTCTCAATAGAATTACTTTTCTGCTAGCTTGTTCAAATGAGGCAGGAGAAAATAAATGGATAAAGCAGCACCTGCATATCTATTTATGTATCTACCTCACACAAAATCACATGTGGAGGGAGATCTAAATCATCCCTTGTCTCTGCTAGAACCACTCTACCTGACTATTCCAGGTTTCAGAAAGGCAGAGTTTCTTTGTTTTCCACTTTTTAGGGGATTGTTTCTCTGCAGAAGCAATTCTGTAAAATGGGGAAAAATAATAATAGTTGTTTAAAAAAAACTTGTTTCAAATCTAACATACACTAGGTTCAGCTAAATGAATGAAAATTAGACTAAAAGCCCCTGGTCATTTCAGTGAGTCTCTGCTAAGCAAGACTGTAAGATCTAGGCATGCATAATGCAGCTAGAGGGTGGAGTTGGGCACCCACCCCACTCTACCAGCTGACTGAGCCAGATGCAAGGGTGTTTTACTTAACATTTCCCTTGTTGGAACATAGGTTTGTATTCAGTGGTGTCCCTCTGCTGATAGAAAGGCCATTGAGCTCCCATGAACAGAAAAGGAGTCACAATTTTAGAAAAGTTCTTCGTCATGGCCTCCGTGCATCACACATATGGGTTCTGCGCCTGCGTAGTGCCTTTGGCCGGAAGATTAACAGCTAACGGTTTTTGGTGGGAACTCCACTCCCCCTCCCCCCTAGCATTGTATAAGGAGCGGAGTGTCCGCCATTTTCCAGTCTTTGCGACCGCCGTTCATTGTGCCTCGTGCCGCTTCGCTCTCGCTTAGATCATTACTTAGCTCTCGCTTGTTAAAAAACTTCCCTTTTTCTTACCAAGTTAGTATTCCCTCGTTACTGTTAGTATTTTCACTTAGTTCTTGCTTTTCATCTTTTTTCTCTCTCGTTCCTATTAAAAAAAACAAACAAACGAAAAATATTACTCTCCCCCTTTACTATCTCCTCTTCTGTTTCTACGATGGCGCAACGGGCGGCATTCCACAAGTGCGGGAAGTGTGGCTCCAAAATGCCCACCGCGGCATGACCTGTGCCATCTTTGCCTGGGGGAAGGGCACAGGACAGATAAATGCGGCCACTGCTTGGCCTTCTCCAAACAGGCGAGGAAAAATCGGGAGAACCGCCTCCTTAAGCTCTTGTGGGACCAGGCTCTCCTCCAATTGGACCGGCTGGTGGCTAAGCCTCCCACAACTGTGGCTCCACCCGAAGGCCGTCCAACTTCAGCCGACCTGCCGCAACGCCCAGCCTCTTCCTCCATTGCTCCGCCCTCACGCCCTTCTGAAGAAGGTGCTCCTAGCATGGCCGATCAGCCCGTTTCCCTACCAAGGAAACAAAAGGAGAAGAGGAAGCACAGTGATCCGGACAAACATCCTGTGCATAAGAAGGCCAAAAAAGATAAGGCTGGCAAGCCGGTTAAGAAGCCGAGGAATCCCGAGCATGCAAAGCATCGCCACTCGGGTTCAGCAACTTCCTTGATCCTGACTCCAGCCACGGAACCGACCCCCTCGGTCCCGACCATCCAGGCAGCTATGAGGGTTACTCCACCAGGCTCACTGCGCCAACCGGCAGCCGAACCCCTTCTGGACCCACGGCGTGGCTCCATCTCGGATGGTGAAATAAGAGATTCTCCACCAAGAGCTCGGTCGCCAACACCAATGCCACCTGTCCCTCTGGATACCGACATCGCCATCTCTCCTCCAAGAAGCCGCAGGAGCCGTTCTTTGGATGCTAGATCCTATGACTGGTACCATTCCAGATACTCCTCCGCTCCGAGACGGGAAGAGTACCAATCCATGGCCTATTACCCGGTTTCCAGGGGACGATCCTCACCGCCAGCTCCTCGGGATCGTTTCCATTCTACACCCAGAGACGCCCCGAGGGCTCCATCTAGAGAGAGCGGCAGATCGGAGTCACCAGGAGATTCCTCTTCCAGCACACCACCTCCTTACTGGATGGAATCTGATGAGTCTGAGGTTGACTCGACCTCGCCAGATGCAGCGGTTACTTTGCAAGGCTCAGGGTAACCTGAAGAACCATACATCTCTTTCAATGAATTAATGACCAGGCTGGTGAAGTCGCTCAACATCGAAGCCCACCAACAACTGCGACCGAGCACTGACCATTTTTATGATGTGGTCAGGGGCGAACGATCCACCTCTATTGCCTTACCGTTCATTACGACTCTGCGGCAGGCAATGACTCAGCCATGGGACCTCCTGACCCACCCACAAACAAATTCACGTAAATATGAATCTATGTATCGGGTTCGGGAGGAGGACATCCCGTTCCTCCTCTGTCACCCCAAGCCGAACTCGGTTGTTGTGGAATCTTCTCAGGGCCGGGAAGCACGTGGACACACCTCGCCTCGCGATAAGGAGGGAAGAAAAGTTGACTCCCTCGCCTGCCAGGTGTACACAGCTTCAGACCTTGGATTACGAATTTCAGATTATGAGGCGACCCTGGCACGCTATCAATATTTTCTTATGCAGCATTTAGACACCATCATTGACACCTTTCCAGGAAACCAGGGCGAACTAGCAAAAACCTTTGTTAAGGAAGCTATGCAAGTGGCGGTGCAGCATCTTTCCACAGTGAGGCAACATGTTGACTCTGATTCAAGGTTGCTTGTCGGTGCCATTTCCCTCCACAGACACACCTGGTTGCGTAATTGCAATTTTCCTGAAGAAATGAAGCGGAGAATTGAGGAGATGCCGTTCGACGGATCCGGTCTCTTCAACGTGAAGATGGATGGTAAACTGAAAAAGATCCAAGAATCCAGAATGACGGCCCGTCGTACGGAACTGCAATCCCAGCCTCGCTGTAAGTGGTCATGGTCACGCCCGCAATACCACCAACAATTCCAACCTCGGCAACAACAACCACATCAACGCCAGCAACTCCACAGATAGCAACTGTCCCAGCACTTCCAGCAGGGCCACCGCCGCTTCGACACAGACAGGCGACAGCGCTGATGCGATGAGCAAGCCTTTCCTCTCCTCCCAACTTCACCCTCCCCTCTCCCATTTGGGGACCGGCTGAAAAGTCGGCTCTCCACTTGGGAGTCCATTACATCTGATGGTGGGTGTTATCCATCATCCAGCACGGCTATAGAATTGAATTCAACGTTGTTCCATCACCGAATCCTATCCATTTTACACCAACCTCGTCGGTACTGTTAGACGAGATTTACCAACTCCTTCCTAAAGGAGCTGTTCGTCGCTTATCGTTATCGGAAGGACTCCACGGATTCTATTCCAGATATTTTATGGTCCCGAAACGAGATGGGGGTCTTCGACCCATATTGTACTTGAGAGCTCTCGATAGATTCATAACACCAAAGAAGTTTCAGATGACCACGCTCCAAAATATACTTCTGCTGCTGGGGAGAGGAGATTGGTTCGCCTCGCTGGATTTGAAGGATGCCTATTTTCGTATTTCAATACATCCACGTCTTAGGCACTTCCTTCGTTTTGCGGTAGACTCTGAAATCTACGAATTCAAGGTGTTGCCATTTGGATTAGCCACTGCACCAAGAGTTTTTACGAAGTGTATGGCCCCTGTCTGCTCACACTTTCGTCTACATGGAATTCGGATATACCCATACCTTGATGATTGGTTGTTGGTTTCCGACACTAAAGCAGGACTTTCGCCTGCTGTTGATATTACTTGTGCTCTATTACAAGACCTTGGACTCTGTATTAATCAACAGAAGTCTTCTCTTCTCCCTCCACAGACGAT